GGGGAAGCAAAATCACCCCAGGTTGAGAGTCACTGTTTTATGCCATCCGATAACTTTCCATTTTTTTTTTTACACATTTGAACATGCCAGTGTTTTATTAGCTGAGTGTATTTCTGTGTATTTGCTACAGTAATGCCTTTTTAAAACTTCCTAACCTTAGAAAATTGCTCCTGAAACCCATCGTTCAAAAGAAGTACCCCTGAACGAGAGGATTTGTCTGCAAGTGGGATCCCAGTGTAGCACCAATGAAAGTGACAATCCTAGCATTTTGGTGGAAAAATGCACCCCGCCCCCTGAAGGTAACAGCTGAAAGCACTGTTTGGTGGTATTTAGAGCATAAATCCAAATTATCCATATGCTCATGTTTGGTGTTCATTAATTCATTCAATTTTCAGATACTTGCTGAGTCTGATAAGCTCCAGGCATTGTACTAGGTGCTGACAACACAATGATAAATATGAGGATGTCCCTGCTTTTGAAGTGCTCACAACTTGAGTAAATGCCTAGTAGTTACACAGCACTTAATAATTTGGAATACGGGTATGTCTGGGTGGCTCAGTCAGTTGAGCATCTGGCTTCGGCTCAGGCCACGATCTCATGGTTCGTGAGTTCGAGCCCTGCATTGGGCTCGTTGCTGTCTGTCCCCCTCTCTCTCTGCCCCTCCCACCCCTCTCAAAAATAAGTAATTTGGAATGTGATATACACACATATACACCCCTCCCCTAAATTAAGCCTCATAAGCTTGTTGTGTTTTTTTATTTATTTATTTATTTATTTATTTATTTATTTTTTGGTAGGGAGAGCGAGCCTGCAAGCAGGCAAGGAATAGAGGGAGAGGGAGAGAGAGAATCTTAAGCAGGTTCCATGCCCAGCGTGGAGACTGAAGCGGGGCTCAGTCTCACAACCGTGAGATCATGACCTGGGCTGAAATCGAGTCAGATGCTTAACCGACTGCGTCACCCAGGAGCCCCAGCTTGTCTTGTGATGTGAGCAAGTTACCCGGGACCCATTCCATGAGGAAGAGGGGAACTGAGTGAGTTGCCCTAGGTCTTTAGATTACAGGTCCAATACCTTAAAAAAGCCAAAATACTGTCTTCCTCTTTAGAAAGATTAGCTTGATAAACGGGACATATTTGGGGAAAGGTGTTAGAAAAGGAAAAGGGGCCCGCGGGCCCTGCTCCAGTTCAAGACCAGCCCTGGGCACAGCTGTCACGTAGTTAGGTCGGTCATTGGCCCTCAGTTCCCTTCCCGCCCATCACCCAGATTCTTCTGGCTCTTGGCTCGCACGGAGGGAGGGGTGTATACTGATTAAGAGCAGGGCTGCCAGAGAGCAGATGTCCAAGCTGAAGTCTCAGCTCTGCCAACCAGTAGCCGTGTGACCTTCAGCAGGTCACTTAGCCCCTCCCACCTTCACTTTCCTCACTGTAAAATGGGGATGATGACAGTACTTCCTGCCAGGACCGTTGAAAGGCTGATGTAAGTCACTCGAGGTGAGGTAGTTAGAATAGGGCCTGGCAAGAGCAAATCCTGTGTACGTCCTGTCTATTAATGTCATGTTGCCCCTCGTTTGGAGGGTTCCCTGTCCCACCACCAGACCTTAGCGCTATGTGGCCTGGTCTCCAGACCATCCTCTTTGCCTGCCTTGCACTGATCAAAAGTATATGAAGTAGTCTTTGTAAAAGGATAAAATTCAGTACTGCCATGAGGCTGGGAACATGGTTTAAAACAACTTAGCTCCCCTTCTCTCATTTCTTTGGGAGTTTAAGGAATAATCTGAAAAAGCCTACATCGTCTTGTGCCAGTAAAACAGTTGATGACGGCTCAGTCCAGTACCCCTTCAAGAATCCTGAGGGATAGCAGGTTTGCATTTTAAACAGAGGCATTTAACTTGGTGACATGATGCCCTAACTCCAAAGGCTTTATAAAGGTCGAGATTTCAGATGATAAAGACGATAGGGCTCGTAAAGTCATAATCCACAGCAAACAACTACCAAGAGTGATGTTATGCTTAACTTTTCCCCGAGTTGCTTCAGGAGGACTGCTTGTTTAGTCTTTAAAACAAGATGTGTTAGTAGGGGTCAAAAGACAGGAAGGTGAATGGTGACTCGGTAGACTTGTTTTCTTGAAAGACAGGTAGGTATATATGGGTCGTTTGTATTTTCACTTTCATTTAGGAATTCCGTACTCACTTCCTACGATTGAAACACTATTTGACCTTTAGACTCTCTCTCCAGTTAGGGCTACAAAGTTAGGGTCCCGCAGGGATGGTAAAGCTATTTCCTCGGTATCTGGAGGTGAGAGAGAGAGTTTTGAGCGAGTCAGATTTGGGTTTTCTCCATCCTGGGTGCCGTGTGGGTAAAATGGCATGAGAGATTAGGGATTGGCTTTCTGGGAAGACACTCTCACCGTCCCCCATGCCCCAGAGGGATTGGCAGGTTTGCCTGGCAGGGAAAGAAGGAGCCTAAACCCTTGGCTGGATATTGCAGGTGATCCTGAGTCTGCTGTGACTGAGCTGCAGTGCGTTTGGCACAACCTGAGCTACATGAAGTGTACTTGGCTCCCTGGAAGGAACACAAGTCCCGACACCAACTATACTCTCTACTACTGGTGAGTGTGCGCAGGAGACTTGCGGGGGAAGAATGGATTGCTTTTGTTTGGCGAGCACTGGGCTCTAACCTAATTAAAAACCGAAACCGAGGGGCGCCTGGGTGGCTCAGTCGGTCGAGCGTCCGACTCTTGATCTCGGCCCACATCACGATCTCACGGTTCGTGAGTTCGAGCCCCACGTCGGGCTCTGTGCTGACAACACACAGTCTGCTTGGGATTCTCTCTCTCTCTCTCTCTCTCTCTCTCTCTGTATCCGTCTCTCTCTCTCTCTGCATCCCTCTCTTGCCCCTCCCCCATTTGTACTCTGTCTCTCCCAAAATAAATACATAAACATTTAAAACAAACAAAAAACCAAAACTGAAAAAGAACAACCTGTTTTTTTGGCTTTATTTATCATTGTTTTTAATTGAGGTATAATTAACATACAATGTTCTATTAGCTTCAGGTGTACAACACAGTGATTCAACAATCACATCTTCTTTTTATTTATTTATTTATTTATTTATTTATTTATTT